ATAAGGCCGGAGCAACAAGCAACAGAGAGCAGGAAGCACAGGAGCAGCGAGAATTTGTAACTGCGGCTGTGGCCGACCCAGGCGCCGGCCGCATAGGCAGTGAGCGTTCCGGCGACGATGTTGGCCGCCCCCATCGCCCCTGCCAGCTCCTGCGAGACGCCAAACGGCTCCAACATCTGCGTTAGCACCGACGCAAAGGTCCACACACTTCCCATGCTGATGCTGAAAGCAACGGCGAGAAAGAGGAAGTCGCGGGAGCGTAGCAGGAGAAACCCCGCATGCGCGACGTGCGCAATGCCGCGAAGGTGCTCATTCTGCATCCACCCCGGGCGACCGACCTCCACGTTGGCGGGCCGGGTCGGTTGGCGCGCCTGTTCCGAACCGGCCGGTGCGGGAGCCCCGCACACGCGCGCATCGCCCCCCGCACCGGCGGCGGTGTGTGCGCCGCCGCTCGACCCCTCCCTCCGAGGCGGGGGCCGCAGAAAAAAGCAGACGCCAAGAAAGACAAGGCAGCAGCTGACCATCTCGACCCCAAAAAGGGTCATAAAGGAGCGGCGGTTGCCGCGTTTCACCACGAGAGGCGGCGCCAGGAGCGCGACGGCGTTGCCGAGGCTGTTGGACGTACTCGCCACCGCCGTTGCAAAGGCACGGCGGTGCGGCGGAAAGTAACGCGCGGCAAGCAACGGCGGGGTCGAGAGAACGAACAGTTGAGCAAAGGCATTAATCGTCTGCGGCACAATCATCGCCGCGAACGAAGGGTAGAAGAGCCCCGGGGCGAACTTCAGCACGGCCCCAAGGGCGTTGAGCCCCGAGCCGACCAACAGCCCACGCCGAACGCCCCAGCGCTCAAAGGTCGAGCAGGCGAAAATGACGCCCCCGGCGAAGACAAACATGTACACGGAGGACAAGTAGTTCAACTCGTCGGTGCTCAAGTGGAAGAATTCCCTCGTTGGGGCGGCGATGGGGGCAAACGTAATCCACTGAATGGCGTTCGAGCCGCTGAACAGGCAGAACAAAACCAACGCCACCCAGCGGCGGGCACCCCGCGCGAGCGCCATGCCGTCTCCCTTTGTGCCCCCTCGCGGAGGCGCGCCGCCGCGGGCCCCGCGCCAGGCAGCGGAAACAAAAGTAAAAAACGGCGCGCGCAGCAGCGGCACCGATCACGCGCTAAGAGACGCACCGCAACGCACTCGGCGCTTCCCGCAAGAAGAAAAGGGAAGGAAGAAAGCAAAAGTCAAACGACGCCAGTGGAGATGGGGAGGGAGAGTAAGGGCCCCGCAGCAATGTTCGAGGCGGTGGCCCGTCAGTCTAAGAAAACCCAACGGCCACGTTTCCTCCGCGCGGTCCGCCCTCCGCTGCGTGGCGGGAGCGGCTGCCCGGGCACCGCGACCCGCAGGGGACCGCGCCGCGCAAACAGGACGAGACAACACGTGCCAATGGCACGGGCCGGGCCACAGTTGCTTGGCGCCCCCCCCCTCCGCCGCTGCGTCTCCGTGCGGGGCCGAGAGGGGAGGGGGGTGGCCCCGGAGGAAAGAACGCACGACGCGCAGGTGCGCCGCGAGGCAAGACGGCGGGAGCTAAAACAATTGCAGGGCAGCCCCGAAGAAACAAATTCATAACACAATCGCCGAACTTTTTTTTTTTATGCATGCACTAAAAAAAATCACGGGGGGAACGCACCCGTCTTCAGTGGAAAAATGGCAAAAAGAAAAAAGAATTCTTTTGGTCCCCCCCTTTTCTTTTCTCTTCTCCCAGCGACGGCGTTGCAACCGCGCAAAAAGCCCCTCGTGGGACCAAGTCACCTCCCCCTCCCCCAACCCCACGCACAGATAGAAAGATAGATATATGCATGTATGTGTTTAACGAGCACAAATGCGTGCTTACTGCGCTTCCATTGCGTCAGAAAAGAACACAATACATGCACGCACACCTTGCTGCTTGGCCGCAGCACACGGAGAGCTTCTTCTAGCGCGTTCCCATCGCCCCCCAATTTGTCGCCAAAACCATTCCTTTTCTTCTGATTCCTCCTCCCCCTTCTTCTTCTGCTCTACTTCGTATCGGCCCGGCATCTTTTTGCGGGAAGGTCAATCACCCTTGCGTCATCCCTCACCCATGCATCGGCGGCGTTGCGGTAGACCTCCAGCGCCTCGCGTCGCTCCTCATTCCAAGTTGCGGCGGAGGCGGCCGACCGAAGCAGCACAAGTCCAATGCGCTGCATGTAGGGATTTGCGTGCCGGCGAAGTTGTTCCTCCGCAGCGTCATATGCAGCGACATCTACCTCGCCCCGTTGCAGTTCCTCCAGTACTTCATGCACCGCGCCGGCGTGCAGCAGGCCCTTCTGGAGAACCTCATTGAGGTGCTGCACGAGGTCCTTCACCGGCAGCTTGCAGATGAGCCGACACGCCGCCGCAGCCTGGCAGCGATTCTCCAGCAAAGCGTTGAAGAACGCGACTGCGATGACTTCGAAGCGGCTGTGCTCTTTCCCACTCAACTCACCGAGGGCGCCCGCGACATCGCACAGCCGCGACTCCGGCCGAAGACCCACAAACACTGAGACCACGTCGCACACGTCGGCGGAAGAGAAGGCCAGCGCGTGGACAATCGGGCTCAGGAACGCCTGGTTGGGGAGCGCCTTCAAGAGGCGGAGCAGCAGTGGCACCACCTCGGCATCGCGACGAAGCGGCCGCCTCTCCAACCGCCCGAGGACCTTCAAAACCACGCAGGGGTCCACGTGCAACAGCAGCTTGGCGAACAGCTTGTCGAGGCAAACGAGCTGCCAGTCCTCCACCAGAGTGTCGTCCGGCACCCCGACGAGAGTCATGGCCACCACATCCCTGGTGCTCCCCGCCGCGGAAAGGAGGACGTCCCACACCTCCGGCTTATCCAGGAACCGAAACATGGCGCACAGCCACGCGGCCTCCACGTCCGGGTGCAGGGCCGTGTCCTGCCGCAGCTGGCGCAGAAAGGCGTAGGCCGCCTCATCAGCGACGTCAGCAACGATCCGAACAGCCACCTTCTGCACTGCAACCAGTTTGGAGTGTAGTGGCACGTCAAGTACCTCAATGATCCGCGGCGTTGGGAGGTCGCGGAGGCGAGGGCTAATCGCGTAAATAGCCACGCGGATCCTCTCATCGCCAAAGGCATCCGTGAGCGCCTTCAACGATGCCGCATCGTCCAGGCGCCCAAGAAGCTCAATGGCCTTATCCCGCAAGTACGCAGCTGGGTAGTCTTCCTTGATGTAGGGGGCAATAACCTCCGTCACATTGGCGCTGTACAACTTCCTCAGCACGCAAAGGTGTTCCGCCGTACAGTAGAGGCCAAGGGACTTGTCTGACAGGCTGCAGCCAATGGACCTGGCGTACACCTCCTGCTTCGCCGCCGTCCAGCAAGACCCCGTTTTGAACATTACCAGCCACTTCTTTTTGGGGGATCCAAAGTGTCCTTTGGTGCAGATGCTGACGAGGTATCGATCCAGCCACTCGCCCTGGAAATGCACGCTCACGGCATGCTTAACGTTCTCATCGCCAATCACGTCCAGCGACTCCTTCAGCAACCCTGGCAGCAGCTCCATCGCAACCGGGCGAAAGTATTTAAACAGGAGCGAGAGAGCAAGCTGCGCAGTAGAACTGTCAGGGTACTTCAGCAGGCTTTTGAGAAAATCCACCGCACTCTTTCCGATGAGGCGCAAGCTTGGACCCAAATTGCGCAATACGTTGTACAGAGGAAAAAACTCCTTCTTGTCCCGCTTTTCCTTGATAAACGGCAACAGACAATTCCAGGCGTGCACCACCGTGGAATGCGGCAAGCCAGTTTGCCACAGCTCGCAGGGGTAAACCTCGCGGCCACAGAGCTCCACGAGGAATGCGTCGACAAGCAGCGTGTTAAAGCGCGCCGTCTTCCCTACAAACTCCTCGATGCGTCGAGAAGTGGCGCGCGAGATATCCCGAGAGTCACATGCAGCTCGGACAATTTTGACCAGTTTGGGGTAGTGCTCCTCCTTCCAGAGCGAGGGGGGCAACGCAAACAGTCGCCAAATAATTCTACCGCGAACAACGTCATTTTCCTTTTCGTGCCCAATGCAAAAGTCAAGGACATCCTGCAGGTGCTCTGGGTAGAGCCTGCCAGTTTCCGCCACGGAGCCGCAGACAGCAGCGCGGATTTCCACATCCCTGTTTCTTAGGTGCTGTCCAGCCATTTTGAAGGCCTCTGGGAAGGGCAGGGCGGGAAGGTATTCTGCCCACTGGACGGGATCGGTGCGCAGCTCCGCCACCTCCGTGAGCGCCCGCATCGCCTCACGCCGGCGCTCCACGGGATCCGGCAGGCGGAGCACCACACCACTTTTCAGTGCCCCGTTCGTGTCGTTTAGCTTTTCTCTTCGGGAGGGGTACAACAACGCCCGTAACTTCGGCGGTGCGTCCCAGAACAAATTCTCCAAGGAGTCGTAGTCCAACCCATTGGCATCGTAGAGGGCGAGAACAGTTTCGGGGCGCAGCTTTTTCATCACACAAGGCCCGTACAATTCGGCCCGAAGTTTGTGCTTCACGATCAGCGCTGCCACGGGTTCGGGAAAGGCGCGGAAGTAGAGCTCGAGGCATTCCCTCGCCACCTCCACGCGCCCCACGGCAGAGGCGAGCAGCTTCAGCCCGACCGGCGGGTGGCTGCAGCGGAGCGCGTAGAGGAACATCTTTATCCGGGCATGCGTGGCGTCGGAGAGGACACCGCCCTTCAGCTCCTTCTCAGCGAATTCCAGCACGAAGTGCGGGCATCGGCGCGCCACTGTGTGCCACTCTTTCTGGGTGAGGAGCCGCAGGGCGACGGTGGGCTGCTTGGCCAGGCAGGCGTCGGACGCCCAGGCTAAGAGAGCGTGTGCCGGGCCGCTTCGTGCAAGAGGTGGCAGCGCCGCAAGGTAGTCGTCCACGAGCGCCGGGAGCCTTTTCTTACGCGCCAACCGCGAGCACAGCTGAAAAAGGCGCCGGCGCGGCAACTCCTTGAAGAGCTCCAGCACATCCGCATCGGACAAATGCACCGCCGCGGGCGCCATGGCAAGACTGGCGACGCGGCCGCACGGGTCCCGCAGAAGCCGCTTAATTTCACTGGGGCAGTTCGCCTGCCACAGCCCCACCGCCCCCACCACCCGCTCGTACGAGACACCCGACGCCGAGAGCTCTCGAAGCAGCGCCAACGCGTCGGACGCCGCGCCCTCCGCGCCCGCGGCGCGCCCCAGAGCCACAACCTCACGCCACCGCTCCTTTCGGTTCATCTTTTCCAGGCGGCGCAAAAACTCTTCCCGCTTTGGCGCCTGCTCCGGCTTTCTCGCTGCCGCTTTCTTCGGCGTCGCCGCCTTCCCTTTTGCCGGCTTGCCGGGCGTCGTGGGGACTCTCGGCCGCATGGTTCCCTCGCCTTGCTTTGGACGCAACAATCCGATCAACCGCACACACAACAGCTTTCTGCGCAAGCGCAGGCAACAGAGGCGGCGGGGCGGGGCAAAAGGCGAGAGGGAGAGAGAGAAGGTGGGCGGCGGCGCCAGGCACTGAGGCACAGCAGAAGAAAACGAACAAAAAAGACACGCCCCCCGGCGCCCTGCCACGCGCGCCTCCGCCTCGCGGCAGCGGCAGCCCGCCACCGCCGACGTCGGGGCGGGGAGAAGAAAGCGGCAACGCCGACTCAAAAAACGAGGAAATCCTCGCGCCCCGCGTAGCGCCTCGCAAACAGCCTTCCATGCGCCGTCGGCTCCGAGAACGCGACGTGCGCAGCGGGGACCTCAAAGCCGTACGAAACACGCTGGCGAGCCAACTCCACCATCGCCCTGCCGATGCCACGGCGGCGGTGCGGCTCCGCCACCCAAAAGAACCGCACCCCGCAGAACGCGTGCCCCGCGCACCAGGCGCCGCCTACCTCCGCCGCCCCCAGCTCCCCGCACCCCTCCGCCCGCCCGCGGTGCAAACGGTACGCCCTACTCAGCTCGCCAGCCACACACAGCCCGGCCACCTCGCACCACGGCCGCGGCCCATTGACGACGCGGGCAGCGGAGGGGCGGTGAGCACCGGAGCGGCACACCCCAGTCCGTGGAGTTTTCCCGTCGCCCGCGCCACCCGCAAAAGCCGCAATTAGCAGCGCGTCCGTCGGGATCTCGTCCACAGCACCCATGGCGTCGCGAGCCCTGTCGAGAGCCTTCTTCAGGGTTTGCCGCAGCGGCGCCTTACACACCGCGCCCCGCGCCGTCCGTGGCGACCCCGCAGTCTGCTCGGCTGATGATGATGGCGCGTGCAGGAAGAAGCCCGGTATCACCGCGTACGTAAGCGGCGCGGCAAACAAGGTTCCCGCGGCGTCCATGCTTGCGTCACCAGCACGGTGAGAAGGACACCCGACCTGCAACTCGCAGGGTGGGCACAAAAGCCACTGCGACAACTTCCCGGCAGGCAGCCGAAAGGCACGCGCCGGCCCACACGGATCCCCAGCCACGTTCACACCCTCGGCGTCTCCTTGCGCCGGCGGCGGTCGCTTCCGCTTGACGCCAGAAACTCTCCCCACCGACGCCGATGCGTTGGGTTGCGCCGCCGCCTGCATGAAGGAATGCCCTAAAGGAAGCAAGCGAAGCGGCAAAAGCGGCAAAGTTGTTTGCTTCGTTTTTTTTTCTGAAGGAGGAAAGACACAGACACCATTTGGCGGCACACCACGCACGCACAGGGCACACACACGGTGGGGCGGTCCGAGAGACACGCACACAACACTTCTCCCTGCGAGGGAGCCCCGCGTGGTGATGCTGAGCGGCAGCCCAAAGGAAGACCCGCGGAAGCCGAGCAGGCGCACACCGGCGCCACCAAACCACAGCAATGCGCCCCGCAGCCGCAAGGAAACGTTAACGCAGAAAGACGCCAACAAAGCAAATCAGGCAAAAGAGAGAGGAATAAAAGTAAAAAAAAAAAAAAGGACTGTGAAGAAGCCCATACGCGGAGGGAAAGGGAAACAAACAGAAGTCTGTGCGCACAGGAGGCGCCTGGGGAATCAGCGCACACGAATCACGCGTAGACTCGCTGCCCGTGGAGGCGACGGCGCAAGTGACTCCCGACGGGGCCGGGCCGTCCCGCCACTTGAGGGGGCCTCGCGCGGCGCCTGAGAGCACCTCTCCGTCGCCGAGGTGTTGTGGTGCTGCCGAGGTGCGGGCTCGGCCCCCCGGCCCACCACCTGCCGCTGCTTCCCGCCTCGCCCCGGGGAGAACCTCCCACGTGAGAGCGCGCAAACAGGCAGTTCCGCAGGCACCACGAAGCGGAAGGGACTCGAGCAACCGGCGCCCTGCCTGCACTTTTCATTTCTTGCGGTCCCTGCTGTGGCGGGCGCCGGCCGACTCCAGACAGCGGCAGCGCTCGTTTTTTTCAGCCGCTGCGTTGTGAGGAGGGCTGCCACTGCGCCGGACGCGGCGCCAGCCGGCCAATGTGGCGCAGCGCGGCCGCCTCGCACTAGCATCGCTGTACGCGTGCGGAAGGAAGGGGGAGACGAAAGTAACGGCAAAGAAGGGAGTTTGAAGCCGTCGCACTCGCACATCACGGCAAACAGGGCTGCAAAGACAAACCCGCCAAAAGGCGAGAAAAAACACCACCACAGCCCTTCACGCCACCCGTCACTGCAGCGGCAGCGTTGCTTGGGCAGCAAAGCGGGAATCCAACAACTTCAGTGGCGCACACACGCAGAGACGCACACACGGCGATCCAAAGCGAAGGCGGTGCGGGTGTCCGTGCAGCCCGTCACGCCGGTCCCATAAACGCGGACCCAAGCACGGAAGCTGTTGGCCCACTCACGTCGCACAGCGGCAGAGGCAATCCCGTGTGGCGCATAGTGAGCGGCGTGGGAGGGGGTTGGCGCTCACTCGGCAGGGCACGGCACGCAAGCGCAGAAATCTGCGGACGGTACAACACACGGAGCTCCCGCACCAACCGCGTCACCTCCGCGTCGCGCCCCGCGTGGGCCTCGGGGTTCGTGAGAGGCACCTCACCGCACACCGCGCACACCGCCTCCTCTCCGAGGACTGACGACGGCGACAACGTCGGGGCACACGCCGAGCACACCACCGCGCCGCAGCATGACGTCGTCATCGTTCGCCGTGGCAAGCTTCCGCACACGCTGCAGACAAACGACTCCACGCATTCGCTCATGCGGATCATCCCCGACAAAAGCAGCTCGTTCACCACCTCAAACTCCCTCTGCGCCGTCGGTGCAACCGACGTAAAGTACGTTTCGGCGCGTGTAAACCTCTGTAGGGCGGAAACACCGCGCCCTGCGAGGCCACCTACCTTTGACCCTGGCTCCTCACGAGTGCCACCCCCACTCTCTGTCTCCGTGCGGCGCGCAGAAGGTCCTGTGGCGTCAGCTCCCTCCTTGTGGGCAGGCCTCGCACCGGTCAGTAAAGCCGCAGAGATGAGGGACTCCCGGCGGGAGGTGAACGCGAGCAGGCACGCTGGGCCAACGAGGTCCTGCACCGCAAAAAGCTGGTGCCCCACACTTGCCGGTGCGTAAATGCGGAGAGCTCGCGGCGGGCCTCGGTGCGGGTCGCACAAGAGGGCAACGTGCAACGCTCTGAGGGTCGGAGGGGCCTTGCCCTGCGCAGAAGAGGCGTCCAACACCTCTTGGCATAGCGAGACCAGGGCGCGGCCCGGGAGCAATGCGCGGCCACCGCCTTCCTCGCCGGGGTCGGTGCCCTGCGCCGCACGCGCCTCGAGTTGGGAACGCGGAACCGCACAGGGAACAACCGGCCAGGCGCCATCTACCACGACGAACTGCATGAGCAACCCTCGCAGCCGGCAACTGGGGAGGAGAAGCAAGTAGACAAGGGGGAGGAGCGTGCGACGACCAAAAATGGAGTGTGTGCGCCATCCAAAGCTCGCGCAGAGGGAGAAAGAAAGAGGGGACGGAGGGAGAGAAGCCCAAGCTTCGGCATGGGGAGCACCGCGACCCCAGACTTGCAGCGCACTACGGCACCCCATCGTTCCGTGTCGCCGACAGGCGCTGTTGGGTCCGCTGAATGAGAGAACTCGGTGGAGAAAAACGCCGCGGGGCGCCGGAGCCCTCCCCAGGCGGAGTTGCGTAGACACACGCGCCACCCGCCGCAGGCGCTGGCACCGCCAACCTCCCTGCCGATAGTGCGGGGGTTTCGCCGGGTTCTGCGGCGGCAAGTTCGCTCTGGATGTACAGAAACTCGGCCACAAGCTCCTGTGGAAGAGGCGCCGCCCCCGTGGCGTGCGCCTGCAGGAGGCGGCCAATTTCCCGCAGCCCCTCCGACAGCGTTGCCGCCGGCGGGCCTCGCTGCGGCGAGGAGGGCGCCGAAGCTGCCGCACCGCCCCTCCCAGGATCCCAATTGCAGGGCGCCGAGGAAACCGCCCGCTCCAGTTCGACGATGCGTCGATGCAGGTGCCGAATGAGAAGGCGCTGGGTGCGCACGTGGGCCACCAGCTCCTCTCGAGTGGCAGTGCGCAGTTTGTCCTCCATCCTCCGCCTCCTCCCAACACGCTTGTGTGTCGCAGCCCTTTCCCTCCGCGCGGCGTTGCCCCAGCCAGCGCCTCGGCAAGCCCACGAACGCGTGCGCACCGAGGACGAGCACACAGCCCCTCCACCGCCCCGCTCTCACACGCACAAC